CCACATATAGTGCAGTATGTATTACATATAGTGTAGTGTGTGTGTGTGTGTATATATATCCTATTTTATAACTAGACTTTTATTTATTCTGATCACCATCACATCCTTTGCAGGATGAGTTGAAATATATGTATGCCTACATATGTACATACACATATGCTCACACATATACACACACACATATATATAGTGAATGAATTTGAATTAAAATTCTCAGCATTACATATTAGCTCATTTTTCTTAATGCTTTTTTGTTAAATATTGAAAATTAAGTAAAATATGCATTATATGTGATAGTATTTCTATAAAGTTCTTTACAATTTTAATTTTTTTAAATTTTTTATCTCAGCATTTTATGGGGGTACAAATTTTTACCTTACATATATTGCCTTTGCCCCACACATTATTAAATGTAAGAAGTAATCTGGGACAGTTTTTTGGTGATGAAACTGAAATTGAAAGTTATAAAAAACTATTACTCTCTACACATTGGAATAAGAAGTATGTTATTGTCACAACTTCTACATGTTGTGTATATGATTCTTTTTTCACAGGTGGTGCTTACTAATGCAACATTTAATTACCCTTACAAACTTTTTAAGCTCCCATGTGGTTTAACTTCGTAGCTATTTTTAAGGAAAATGTTAGCATGTTAATCCTCTTGGAAAATTAGATACAAAATAAAGAATCTACAATATAACTGTTAACTGTCTAAAACAAAGGGAGATATACTGTATTTTGGTTAAGAAATAATGAAGGCACAAAGGATGCTTTATCGGGAGGAATTAAGTTTGCTGTCAGATTGGACAACTTTAGTATGGCAATTCTGCCACTGAAGCTACATTTTGAGTAGCTGAAAACTCAGGATCTTAATGTAGTCCCCAAGTCACTGACCTTTTAAGCGAGAAACTCAATGGAAAGTTATATTTTTCTTCCTTTTTAATATGCACCCCTGGGTTGTGCAGTTAAATTACATGGTTAAAGAATATTACATTGATGTCCCTGTTAGAAAGGTTTTAAAATTTAATCAGTTTTCTTTCAAATAATATTCTAAAGACCCACATATGTCTGTCCATGAGACATATAGCAGCAGAGTGGATTAAGTTCGTTCAAAAGCACTTAGCATTTTTTATGAGCCAGAAGATCAGCGGGGACTTTGATTGACATTATTATTTATTATTTTTGAACGCTGATGGTTCATTTTCATGGCAGAGTCCCCTCTATGTTTATTGACATTCATAAATGAAAAAGCTCTGCTTTGCTGACTATTTAATTGCTAATTTAATTTTCCTAATAACTTGCTTTACAGGAACTGGATTTTGAAGCCAAAACAAGTTACACATTACGGATAGAAGCTGCAAATAAAGATGCCGACCCTCGCTTTCTAAGCTTGGGGCCATTCAGCGACACGACAACCGTGAAGATAATCGTGGAAGATGTAGATGAGCCCCCCGTGTTTTCGTCACCTTTGTACCCCATGGAGGTGTCAGAAGCCACCCAAGTTGGGAATATCATTGGCACCGTAGTGGCTCATGACCCAGATTCTTCCAACAGCCCTGTGAGGTAAAAGCCCACTGCTCTCCTATTCTACAAGTTCACATCAATGTGCCTTCATTCACAACTTTGTTTTTGTATTAAGATGCTTTTTTGTTCATAACACATAAAAACCCATTTTATATATGCATCAGGTCATAGCAGCAGAGGCGAAGCAAGATCAGAACAATACAACATTTTACTAATTCAAATATGTCATCCAAGGCCAGTATTACATAGCCATATTTTTAAGCTTCCATTGTTATCCACAAGCCGGGGAGGATATTTCTATTCAACCAATTATCCTGAGCCTCTTTAAGCAAACCGTGGTCAAAACTGAAATGATGCATGTCCTTGCTGCAGGGTAAATGCATATGTTAGAAAAATAATTGTATCAATAATTTAAATTAAAGATTAATTTTAAACAAATTTTTATATTAGTCTACTTAGTATATATTTGTTTAGTTTATTATTTCCACTTATAAAAATAAAATAGTACCTGTCTATGTATAAAGACTATTAAAAATATTCTTTCAGTAGTCTTGTATCTACTCTAGACACATTGCTAAAGTCAAATAATCTCTTTAGGACTAACACAATGATGATATGTAAGCATTTCAAAATATGTCAGCATTCCATCTTGCACCGTTTATCTATAATTTATAATCTAATATCTACATGTTTGTTTGTGTGTATGCATGTGTTTGTGTGTGAGTGCAATCCTTATTTTTCCTGAGTTAATATTATAAATAGAATGTACTTGAAAGAAAATGCACATTGTAATATATATCTTAATTTGGGCTCGTAAGATACTTACTTCACTTTTCAATGTGAAGATTTGATTTTGATTACAAAGACTATAATGTAAACAAAACCAATAATTGTTTTATATTCAGATATGGTCAACTTATAAGCTAACCACACACTTTTAGATTTAAATGATCTTTAAGAATGGTAAATGTTTTTGAGCTAAGTCTTGACATTGGCTATAGAGTGTCATGAAAAGTATTTATAATTTAGACAATAATTCTTGGCTAAGAAAAATTGATAATGCTCTTTTCTCCCTTAGGTAATAAATTGATTTTATATATAT